CCTCACAGATGGCACCAGCGTGTCAGTGTGTTCTCTTTCTCTCATCACAAGAGAGCACAAGGCTGCACGACGCACTCAGTTGCAACAATTACAATTACAATGCATAACTTTTTTTCTCCTCTCTTGCACTATATCAGCTAAAAGCGAGAGATGTTGGAGGAACTTCCCCAGAACTCTAAACCTGTCACCGACTATCAAAGATCGCTGTGGCTAGGTTTCTTGTAACGCGCGTGAGGATGTTAATAAGTCGATGCCGAAAACAACCGAGCAGTTAACGATGTCATCATTATACCGGGAAAGAAAGAGAGGAGGGTGGGACGAATTCCATATCTCGACTTATGATCTCAAGGGCGTCTGGTGAGGCTTCGGCGAGACCGTGCAAAACAAAAGGGGGAAGTCATGGTCGCGACGCTTTAAAAACCGGGTTTCAAGGCAAAGGACGAATTAAGCTATAAGGTACGTGCGTGACGGACCTCCAGAGGAGACATATAAGAAGAACGAAAGAGCAGGTTCGCACAATGATTAAGTGCGGGTTGTCGCATTACAAAACACAATCACGGACGTCCTGCGAAGACGGGGAGGCGAGAAAGTGAGCGCCTCGATTAATAAAAATCCCCTAATTGCAGGCTTCAAATTTCGCGTGTACCGTATTATGATAATGACTGCGATACAGAGGCGGATACCAGCAAAGTCGAGACTGAATAAAACGAGTTTCTATTTAACCGCGTTATTTTTATTGAGGATCGAATCACGCTTGCTCCTCTCTTCTCACAGCCTCGATTAACCGTTCTTTTAATCGAACACTATCCCAGAATGACGAAGTGCTTAAAGAAGAGAAAAGTGCAGCGCAGCACGCTGTAAAGCAAATCAATTATTGCCACGGACAGCTCAAGCAACACAATCTTATGATCGCGCCGCAGGCAACGATGTTGCGGCAAAAGCGGATACTAACGCCGGGAACGAATCAAAACCGTGAACACCCACTGCGTATTTTAAAGTTGCTCTGGGCTCAAGTACGTCTGGATTGGATATTCAGAATCACGTGATCATAAGAAATCCGTCACGTCGGTTCCAAGGCTCGATTTCGGCACCGACTAGGGTAACGGAGGAAATGCTCATCGATCAACCTACAAATTCCCTTGGCTCGGAGTTTTGCACCTACAGCCAATAGCGAGATAATTACCGGATGACGCAATAAGTGACGTCACGACTTGGCTATGCGAAGAACCGGCCAACGTTTATCTCGACTAACGTGAGCTTCTGGTGCGTCACTTAGAAGGTGAGAACGGTATAGGGGGAGTTTCAGCTGTTCCGTCTTTAGAGCGAGTTTTCTACCTTCGATAGTGCTTCGGCGTCTCTTGAGCCTCGAACGCGCACGCGCAGCCAAAGCACGGAGGAAGGCAACGAGCGCGTGCTGGAGGCCCGACGTTCGAGAGAGACACCCTGTTAATTCCCTCCTGACAGTGACTAGAGCGGGTATCCAGTGGACGCCATATTTGAGGACGATGTTTAGGGCGCATGCTCAGAACGAGTTCACATTATTAGGCTGTTAAGAGCGGCAATCTTGATGATGCGAAAGGCACGTTGCAGAACTGTGGAAGCTCGCCGTCAGCACGCGTTCAGTAGCCGCGCACGCAGAAATGGACGATTGCAAGCAAGGCCAAAGCCGTGTATAGAGAGAGTTCGGTCAAAGGGAGGAACGAGCAGAGCCAGGGCGTGCAACAGACGCAGATAGAGGACTTGGCATGCTCTCTTGACCAACCGGAAGCCGAAAAGAATCCCTAGCAGTGGTAGCGAGGTAGTATAATAAAAGCATAGGGGCTCAATGTAGTAACCCTTGATGGTTGAAAATATGGTGCACGTGATGGTCATGCAAAAAGAGGTAAGAAACGAATGTGCCTCTCGAACTCTGTTCTGCTCGTACAGAGTGCGACCACTCGGACGGCAAATTCCCGGCCCTCGCGCCTGGCGTACGGATTATATCGATGGTTCCGCTAGTCGCGCTCTTCCACCGCGATTTTGGACGACCGTGACTGAAACATCACGTCCACCATATTTTTAATCACCGAGAGTTACTCCGACGCACTTATTAATTTCGTTTCTCGCGACCACCGCCAGGGCAGTATTTCCGGCTTCCGGTTGGCCACATTCGAATTTGTGAAGACGCCCTGGAACACGCCAAGCCTGCTCTCGGCCAATGGCGCCTCCTTATTTGCCAATGAACGGCCAAAGTCTCTCTATATACGTCTCTGAGCAAAGCCACTAGCCGCCGCCATGCCTCTGCTCGTGCGCAAGCCCGTGCAATTTCAAGCTCGCCAAAGCTACGTTCACGCGCAAGCTGCACGTGCTTGCACTCGTGGTAACCAGTCGCGGGCGCCACACTTACAGTTCTCTATAATAGAGTGATGTTAGCAGCCAGTTTGACTACGCCGCAGCTGCCGCCATGTGTCGATGGCAACTTTAGTATTTCTGCACGTGCGACAACCTCGCCGCTTCCCTACGCGTGCAGCGCACGACCCAGACCGAGCCGTCTCTTGCGGTGTCATGTGTAATAAAGGTACGGCGGCGTCACGGCACGCGCCGAACGCTCGCGTTCGAGGAGAGCAGTGGAGACAAAGGCAGCCATTGGTTTAGGTGTACCCACTAATCCTTCCAATCAGAGCTCGCCGTTCTGACGTTCCCCCGCGCTCTCCTCTCCTCCTCTCTCCCTCAGTTTCTCGGCGCACTGCTCGGTTTCAAGTTACGCACATGTTTGAAATCACGAAGGTGTGCGGAAGACAAATATAGTGGCAGGAGACAGTTCATGTTGCCAACATCTTCCCGTACCATTACTTTTTTTATCTTCCTTCTTATTTTTGTTTTTAATCTTGAGGTGTTCAAATTCTCAAAAGGGGGAGAAGCTCATTATTTTCTCGTAAAACCAAATCGCTCACGTAACGGCGACGTGGTGGGGAGACTAATACGACTTGCGCTTCACGTACGAGGAAGTGTCCGGCGACACGCGACGTGAATGAAAGGAGCTGACGAAAGTATACAAATAAGAGTCGTCAGCGGCTTCCATTTTGCGTACCTGTTGCAAGGCTGACTTCCGGAGTGTGCCAAAGTAAAAAGTGCAGCAAAATAACGGCGTCTGCGTTCAAAAGCCTCGCGTGTTATGGACATCCGAATTACAACGACGCAGCCATTTCACCGCCGTCCTCCGACTCAGTTATGACTGCGCAATCAATTTGAGGAAAGGAACAACAGTAATGCTCGCATCATTAGTTGGCGGCTCATTCCGACCCCTTAATGGCAGCCTTCAAAGTTGCTAGACGGACGACCAATGTTCATCATATACAAACCAAGAAATAAAAACATCGCTCTTTTTTTTTTTGTTTTGTACGGTTTTCATCGTTTGGTTGTGCCTCCCACAGATGGCGTTAGTGTACGAGAAAATAGTTCCGGTTGTGTCAAACGAAAAATCTCGTGTCGACAACGTACTATTTTATCGAAGCACTTTTTTTGCCATGTTTATTAGCGTTGTGTTATTTAAATTAGAACTGCTTTATACACCAGGTTCTAGATTGCTCCGAAGCGCCAGAAACTAACGGAACGACAACCCCCGACGTTCCAGTAGTTTGCGTAAAGGGTCTCGGCGCCACACTCGGTTAAACTATCTTAACTTCATTCATCCCTTCGAAAAACGTATTTCGCACCCCTCACACTATATATGTGTATCTGCCGTTTTGATGGCTCGTAAAGGGAGAGCTCTCTCCGAGACCGCACGAGCTCGTGCAATTCTATCGCGACGAAAAATTCCTCGACGTGAAAACCTTCGCTCTAATAGAAGCGATAGCGAAGAAAAACAACTTTCGCAATTCACGAAAAAAGATGCCTCGCCTCAGAAAAGTGCAGCATAACTTCTCAATGGCAGTATTGGGTCGTACCGAACTGTATGTGTACCTTTATTAACATTGTAAGAGTATAACTGCTTTAGTAACAGCATTTCTCTTCGTCGGTGAACGATGTCAAACTTCGCTCTATTTCAGGCCCAGACCCGTGTTCCAACAGAAGGTGTGTATAAACACGAGCGACGAATATAAGCAAAACAACAAACGAAAGGAATGTAGAGTCTGTTCAAGGTTCATTAGCGTACCGGCGACGCTTAGAGTTGCTAATATGCCAGTCCTGTCACATATATAAGAAAATGGCCCTGTCCAGCATCTTTACAAGCGGTTCAAAACAAGCATTCGAAACGAAAAAAAAATGTTGTCTACGAAAAGTGTTTCTTTATTATTTGCTATGCCGGCAGCTTTTATCGTGCACCTGTTTTCTGGCTTCTCTCTATTTTCAAATATTTCGAGCGTGCGGGTGATGTTTTAGCGCAGAACAAGCATCGTCGCACATATGCCCGAGGAGAGTGAAAAAAAAAATCATTAAGTACTTATTTACTGCGACAATGCTCATATGATGCTGTTTTTGCACTGTGTTTAAAGGCATATGAATTTGACAAAAAACAAACAAAAAACACTGTCACTGAGCAATATTTTAATTTGCATGATTGAAAAATGTTCCACACTATTTGGTACGTTATAATTATTCGCGATATTTGGTCTTATATTCAAGCGCAGAGACCAAATCCGCCCGCTTTTCCCCGTAGAAATGCCTTACTGGAAGCTAATATTTCGACTGGTTGCTGCCTGCTTCAATTTGCAACAGCACACTAGCGCCAGTTGAACCTCTAGCGTACATTATAATAATTCTATGCGAGGAACGGGTAGCTCGCGGCCGTTGCCGTAGCTGGATGAATAGATAACTATACGGCCGTACGCTCTGAATTGGGTAACGACTTGCGCCACCTATCGAGAAGGAGATGAAAAGCACGCGATTGCGGCAGCCGGGAATGGAGTCGTTTTACGGTATAGTATACTTTTCTCTCACTTCTTGGCGACGATACGCGTGCGTCTGCGCGACCTGAAAGGAAACGGGCGAGATCTGAAGGAGGCCCCCTTTGAACTCACTTGGAAGTGGAGGATGATGGTCCAGATGAGCCCCAGCGTGAGCTTGGGGTTGCCGTCCACGATGTCCTCGGCACGAATGTTGACCAGCTTGATCTGGACCATGAGAAGGAAGGAAGCAACAACGATTAGTGTCCACAGGTTCCCGGTGCGGTCAAGAGAAAGTTTAATGGATCTTGATCATTCGGCTAAAGTTCCCGGAGAACAGAACGCGCGGTGTGTTTTGAGCTGCGATAGGAGTTTAGTTACGAACTTTTTTTGTTTTTCTTCTGAGCCTTGGGAGTGAAGATAAATTCCACTGAATTAAGTGTAAGAACGGGTTGCCCGCTAAATTTAGCGGCGAATCTGATTTGGTGTGTACAGCAATTTAATGTTCGCATCCAGGAGTCCATGCAGTCACCTTGAAGCTGTCACCCCGACGGGTCCATGCAGTCACCCTGAAGCAGTCACCTCGACGGTACCATGAGAAAGAACCCTTTGGCAACATTAAGTGTTCGCGTTCATTCAAGCCTGGCAATCAACGATTCTATCCTCCAATATACGTTCACCCGCCGGAATATCAAAAGGTCTCGAGTACGGCATGCAAACAGAATGTACAACGGGATTTTTAAGCGTGTGTCATGTTTGTCGATGATCGGAGGAAAGAAGGAAGCAAACAAACAAAACTGCGTTTTTTTTTTCGTTTTTTTTTTATTTTTTTTTTCTTTTTTTGAGGGAAAGAAGGGGGATATTTTTTTCAATGTTTTTACGTAGCAGCAGACCAGAAACGCAGCGTTGTTTCCTTCCTCCTTTCCACTCAATTTCCTCCCTCTGTTCCCTCATCTCGACGTCTAAAGTACCACAGCATCGTCGTACCACGGCGTGTGCCCCACCAGAAGGTACCCAGACCCTTAGAATGGCTCCGGACTTCAATGTCAGGAAGGACACTGACGTCAATTTCCTGCATACTAGAAGAAAGATAAAAAAAAAAGAACTAACAAAAGAACGTGCAACCCCGGTTATCACGAGCCCGCAGCCTAAGGGTATCATTATCAGATCGCGGCTGCTCTCACTGATCGACTCGATGTCCCTAAACAGAGGCGGAACACAATCCAACGCGAGTCGAGACAATCCAGAATACAAAGGGCGCCACTCATTAGGAAGACTCGTGCCACGCTCCAGAAGTACGTGTAGGGTATACACATACGCACGCACCCGGAAGACAGATACACACGCTACGATTGTTGACACAATGTGAAAACAAAAAGCTAGCGCAGACAATGCAAACAAATAAAAAAAAAAAAGTTCTTCAAGGACGATCCCCATTCAACCTTCTCTCTTACTTCCCCGTCCCTCGGTTTTAATGTTTAATCATGACGAAACTCTCAAGGTCGAGTAAAGAAACGAAAGCAGCCGATCGACGACGAAGGATTGGCGGTGCAGCCATTATAGACACGACAACGGAAAAGTTTCTTTTCGGGTGCGGCTGATCTTTAGAAACAATAATGCAATTTAAAAGATTAAAAAAAAAAAAAAACTGCGTTTTCTTTTGCTTTCTTTTTAATGCTGTTTGCACTGGGGCAGTGATAAAGGGTAAGTCATATCGTGCCTGACGTCCCAGCGTGTATTTAATTTCAGACACGTAACGATATATTAAGAAATATGAGCCCCAACGTTTTCGGGCTCTTATTTCTAGTCATTAGCGATTATTTAATTTTTCTTCCTATATGGTTTTGTTGGTTCTGAGTGATTTCATTAATTATGGATTGATTTGTGTCTTTCCTTCGATTGATTTCGTTAAGAATTGATTACTTTATCTTTTTTCTCCCGCAATTCTACTGTTGTTTTTAATTGTTTTTGTTTTTTTCTACCGAGATGTTTGCCATCCTCTTTAAGTAATGACCTTATATCGAAGGGACCTTTAAGGTATTTCAATAAATAAATATCGGGGTTTCATCATCCAGTGAGCTTACACTGTACACTCCATGCAACCTGGAACGTTTACTTTCCCTCAAAGCCCTTGGGAGAGCCAATAGACCAGTGTCCGCTCTGTTCCATGGGCAACGCCATCTTTGTTTGACGCTGACGCCATGACACAATAGGGGGGCTGCGCTTTTTGTAAGACTCCGTTTTTTTAGAGGCCTTCGCACACATCGTGGCGCAAGGACGTCCAAAATGCATAGAACAACATCAATGCCAAAAAAACCGTAAAAAAAAAAATCACCTTGTTTTATGCGCAGCCCTTTTTTTTCTTTTTTTTTCACAAGAGTCTGCGTTCGAGATTCTTATTTTCCATTTTTATCACTGGTGGCTAGGATTTCGAACACTGGTCTATACAAAGCGTGACGTTGCATCACGTTCAGTGCCACAGCACAAACTGTGTGTTTTAGGACTAGACATGCTTCCATCCTCGTGATTCACCTAGCACGCCCCGTAGATCCCAAGCATTGGTCCTCCTAAGTGGTTTGTGGGAAAGTAAACGTTCCAGCTTTCATAGATTGTACAGTCTAAAAAAAGCCCGTGCGTCCACTTTCCCGCAAAACACTCGGAGAGCCAATCACCGCAACTTACAAAGGCAGCTCAGCGAGTGACGATGCCAAAACATATGTTTTTTAGAGCAAACAACGCAGACTGAGTTGTGACATTAAGCAATGCAAGCGTGACGTTTTGCATTGCTTAACTCCATTACTCAGACTGCGTTTTTTGGTCTAAACATGTGTTTCGGCATCGTCATTATCGTAGCTGCCTCCGTAAGTTGCGGTGATTGCCTCCCCAAGTGTTGTGCGGGAAAGTAGACGCACGGGCTTTTTTTAGAGTGCAGACGCTCCAGATTTGTTAGTGAGTAGATGTAATTTACTCTATATAACAGATCCCCAGAAAACATTGACCGAGCGGAACTTTCCTTTCTACAAGTATAAACCACATAAACTCTGCAATCATCTTTTCTTTTCTTCTTTCTTTTGAAGGGGAAGAGGATTATATGTGCCCGTATTTGGCTGACGCAACATTCCTGCGAAAAACTCAATTAAACAAAAAGGTATTTCATTAGCGCCCGCCCAGCCCTTCCTTTTGTATTAAAATGAAAGAAAAAAATTTAAATACCATTACGTGCGTTGCGTAAAAAAAAAAAAAAAAAAAAAAAAAAAACATAGCCCAAACAGATTATAGAGCACGTCCTCTCTGTTGTTTCGTTCGCACGTGTCACGCATTTTATTGCTTCTCGCCACTCCAGGTTGGCTCGTGGAGATTTCACTTTCAACGAGCCCCTAGATCTTTCCTCCGCCTCATCCCCGGTATCTTTCCTCAGCCCTCGAAAAGGATTCACTATTCATGAGACTCATTAGTGATTCGTCGTATACGCTTGGGCGGCCGCGCGAAGTGGCCTAAACGCTGCCGTTACGCAAGCGGTGGCTAAAGTGGCGCACTTCTGTTCTCCCTCTTGCGCATGCGCGTGCCTCGACGTGAAAGCGCCACGCCCGACGGCGTCCAACCTTTGGAACTAGCCACGCCTCGGCCGTGAATTAAGAGACATACTAGAGAGTTTAGAGAACCTTTTTTTGCACATCCGATAGGTACGAGGAACCCTCCGGTATGAACTGCGCATGCGCGAGTCTTCTGCTGTAGCGCATGCGCAGTTCGTACCGTATCGCATATGCAAAAACGGTTCCCTAAAACTCTCGACTAACAGACAGGCTTGTACGATGCTCATTACAAGTAATCAAATCACTTGTAATTGATTACATTTTGAAGTAATTTTGTAATCATTTGATTACATTTATGAGGAAGTCCCAGATGTACGCGGCGGCGCTGCGGTCGTTTACAGACTGGAGAATCCGACCGACTCCGAGCGTTCCGAATGCCTTCGCCGAGCAGCTTTGCCTGGCGGTTTGGCCGTTTCGCGGTATGGCGGCGCGAAGTGGCTCCCGTTCTGAACTGATTTTTGTGTTTGCTGTCATTTGTGGCCAATGAAGTGTCACGCCGAATTAGTGTTTAATCGCGCAGCAAATACAATGAGAGCCGCTCTGGCTGCCCGCTGCATACAGCCTATCGAGAAGATGCTTTAGTGGCGCCCTCTCGTGAGAGCTCGCTGTGCTCACTACCCCTCCTCTAGTTCACGGCCACTCAGGCAACCAAGGACGTCATGAAGGAGGTTATTTTTTGCTTGTCTTTGTAATTTTAATTCGCCTATAAGTTTTAAAATGAAGCGAAATTCGACAAACGAAAATTTTCATTAAGTTACTACGTTCAGTGCGCTCAGGTTCGGCGCAAATTAAAAATTAGTAAAAAAGTCATTGCAGGTCCCCTTTAATGTCACAACTCAGACTGCGTGTTTTGGTCTAAACATATGTTTCGGCATCGTAAGTTGCCTCCGTAAGTTGCGGTGATTAGCTTTCCGAGTGTTTTGCTGGAAAGTAGACGCACGGGCTTTTTTTACAGTGATATATATACAGGTAGAGAGTTTGGTCATTCATTGGGAAGTATAGAAGACAAATGAAGAGGCGCCAATGGACGAAAGCGGGCTTGGCGTGTTCCAGGACGTGTTCACAAATTACCCTGGCGGCGGTCGCGAGAAACGAACTTAATAAATGCGCCGGAGTAACTCTCGGTGACTGAAAATATAGTGCACGTGATGTTTCAGTCACGGTCCCCCAAAATCATGGTGGAAGAGTGCGACTAGCGGAACGATCCACGTAATCCGTACGCCAGGCGCCGAGGGCCGGGAATCTGCCGTCCGAGTGGTCACACTCTGTCCCAGTAAAACAGAGTTTGAGCGGCGCATTCGTTTCTTACTTCTTTCTGCATGATCATGATCGAAACATCACGTGCACCTTATTTTCAACCATGAAGTGCTACTACATTTAACTCTCAGAAGCTCTTATTAAAACCAGATATCTATGATCAGAACTGTTTTTCGCTACCACCGCTAAGGGATTCCTTTGTGCTTCTGGTTGGCCGACAGAGCATCTCAAGACCTCTTTCTGCGTCTGGTGCACGCCCTGGCTCTGCCCTCGCCTCCCATTGACCAAACTCTCTATATATACGGCTCTGCGGCTCGCGCGGAGTTCCAGCGGGGTTGTCGCGCTCGCAGAAAGACTACATGTTCCCGTGATCCTTGC